GGGTTTGACTGTCGTTCAACGTACCGAGCTGCTCAGACCCCAAAAAATAGCCAGCAGGCTTGGCTCCAGAGGAGGAACAGGTATTCTCATCTTCAGTGGTTCGAAGGCTGCTCCCTACAGTAATAATAATAATAATAATAATGAATTTAATTTGTATCGCACTTTTCATTAACAAAAATCTCAAAGTGCAACCAAAATCAATGATAAAATCAACTAAAATCAGTGATAAAAACACATGGAGGCAGAATAGGCTTGCTTAAAAAGAAAAGTCTTTAAGCCTTTTTTAAAGTCAACCAATGATTGCGGAGCTCTCAGATATTCAGGGAGGGAGTTCCAGAGGTGGGGGGCAACCACACAGAATGCCCGATCTCCCATGGTCCTTAATTTAGTTCGTGGAAGGAGGAGATGACTGTTCTGTGATCGTAGGGACTGGGTGGATGAATATGGAGCAAGAAGGTCCTTCAGATAATCTGGTAAATTTCCGTTTAAACATTGATGAGTAATGAGAGCAATTTTGTACTGAATTCTGCAGGTGACAGGAAGCCAATGGAAGTTATAGAGAATAGGTGTAATATGTTCAAATTTACAAGCTCTCAATAAAATCCTGGCTGCACTGTTTTGAATATATTGAAGCTTCTGAAGGTTTTTGCTGGGAATTCCAGTAAACAGGGAGTTGCAATAGTCGAGCCTGGAGGAGACAAAGGCATGAACGAGTTTCTCTGCATCAGCAAAAGTGAGAGATGGGTGAAGTTTGGAGATATTTCGGAGATGGAAAAAAACAGGTTTTAAACAGATGCTTAATGTGATTTTCAAATGTAAGATGAGAGTCCATTTTTATTCCAAGATTTGTAACAGATGTGGAGAGGGGGATGTCTTGTCCAGAAAAGGAAATAGTCGTTATAGTTGATGTTTGAACCTGGTAAGGGGTGCCAATCAGTATGGCCTCAGTTTTGGAGCAGTTTAACTGAAGAAAGTTCTGATTCATCCATGCCCTTATCTCCTCCAGGCAGGTAGAGAGGGCAGTGAGTGAAGATGGAGATGACAATGGTGATGATGAGGCGCCAGTCCTGATGTAAAGCTGTGTATCGTCGGCATAACAGTGAAAATAAATGCACTGATTAATAATTTGACCTAAAGGCAGTATGTAAAGGGAAAATAGCAGGGGCCCTAGAACTGACCCTTGAGGGACACCACAGAAGACACAGACAGTCTGGGACTTGGCATTGTCATGACTAACACATTCCAACCTATTGGAGAGGAAATATTTAAACAGTCCAGGACAGTGTCACAGAGACCGACCTCCACATGAAGACGGTGAAGGAGGATACTATGGTCCACAGTGTCGAAAGCTGCAGTGAGGTCAAGGAGAACAAGGAGGGAGGGAGAACCAGTGTCAGCAACCATGAGGACATCATTGGTGACTCTCAGCAATGCGGTCTCAGTACTGTGAGCTGCACGGAAGCCAGACTGAAACTTCTCATACAGGGAGTGTTGTTGTAGGTGGATCTGCAGCTGAGCAGCAACTGCTTTTTCCAGCACTTTTGACAGAAATGGGAGGTGGGAAATTGGGCGGTAATTAGAAAGAATGTCTGGATCCAAATTGGATTTTTTCAGAAGAGGCCTAATGATGGCAGTTTTAAGAGGCAATGGAATATGGCCAGATTGTAGGGACTTATTTATTATTTGTGTGATTAATGGGCTTATTGCAGTATTGCATACACTGTCATACTGGAAACACAGTCAGACTGGGTCTTGGCAGTTGGAGTACAGAGCGGCAATCTTTCCCGCTGAGTCTAAGCTGGGTTAAGGGCTCTGGCACAGCTAGGTCTAGCGTTTGCCACTTCCTGAATATGCCGGGCAGAACATATACGAGCATGCCTCTTTAATCTCTGGACAAAGGAAAAGTCTACCTGTCGGTGGCAGCCCTGTCTTCAGCCCTCTAGCTGAGAGGTGGGGACTGAGACTGCTAGCTAACTCCTAGTTGAAGGCAGAAATGTCCAACACCTAACTAGTGCTACGAAAGGAAAAATTGAGAGCCTACCTGCATGCTTTGCTCTGAAGCAGCTTCGCAGATGGCATGCAATCAGAGCTGAGGAAATATTCCATCCGCTTAAAATCTTCTCCTGTCTGTTTTCTTATGCTGCTTGCTGGCTGAAGAAAATGAGGAGTCGATCCCCAGTCTCAGAGGCAATTTATAGGGACTGGGGATGGGGCCCACACAGTAGGTGGGCGTGGACTAAAGTTTTCAGTTCTGGCATGCTGCACGCGGGGATAAGCCCACTAGCGACAGCCTTAAAGGGCAAAGATTATACAAAATACAACTATAGTGTCTGTTTCCAGCAAACAGAATAACCAAAGAATAACGGAATGATTTTTGCTGTTAATAGTCTTTTTATTTTTCAGGTGTCTACTATTGCTGGCTGCAGGGACGCAGGGTTGCTGAGATCCACCTGTTTGTTTATCCTCATCTGGGTGGAGGAGAGTCCACACTGTCCCACCCAGACCTCCCAGCAGCTGTTCAGATGGTGTTAAAGGCTTATGCTGCCATGTTCTGTCTGTTCTGTCTGCTGTTGTTGTGCAGAACTTGGCTCAAATATATGAGGGACAAAGCAGAAACACATGTGAATTAAACCAAGTTTATTGAACAGTGTGTGGTTTTTCTCAACCATCACATATCAAAAAATATTTTGGTGGTTAAACAGAAATGCATCAACTTTTGTGGAATATTGTTCACCATTGCAAAGCAAAATGAGGGAATTGGAAATATAATTTGAACAGCTTTCTGCTCCCACTGACTCTGCTACTGATACTGAACAGCTGAGCTCGTGGTTTGACTCCTCCTGTCAAACCATTCTGGACTCTGTAGCTATGTCAAAACTGGTGCGGCCTAAAGCCAGAGACCTGAAGCCTGGTTTAATGAAAAACTCTTGTAGCCAAACAAGGGTACCGCAGAGCTGAACGGAGATGAAAAAAAGATAAATTGGAGGTTTCATTTCACATTTTAAAGGACTGTCAACATCAATATCAGAACACTGTCAAAGAGGACAAAAAAGAACACTTGTCAGACATTATTGTGTCCAATCACAACAACCCACATGTCCTTTTTTTAAAACTATTGACACTGTCCTGAAGGCCCCACAACCTGTCTGCCTAGAAGCCTCAAGTGAACTTTGTAATGACTTCCTGCAGTTTTTTTTATAAATATGGTTATTACCACAAGGGCCCTTATTTCAGCCCCTGCTTTTGACCCCTCCTGCTTTGTCCCCTGCCTGGCTGTGTTTGATAAATATGAGTCAGTGACTGTGAACCTTTTTGAGAATGTAGTCAGCCATATCAAGCCATTAGGTTCTCCTTTTTTTTTTTTTTTTTTTTTTTTCCAGCATCAAGCAGGTGATCCTTGCTGTTATAAATAGCAGTCTGTCCTCAGGTGTTGTCCAGTAAAGTTTCAAACGTGCAGCCCCTGCTTAAAAAGCCTAGCCTAGACCAAACTGTCTTGGCTAATTTTAGGCCCATCTCCAAGCTGCCTTGTTTTTCAAAAATTAAAAAAATAAATTTATATTCCCAGTTAAAATGCTTTTTGGAGGAGCACAATATCCTGGAGGTTTTCCGTCTGGCTCCAAAACTTGGCACAGCACAGAATCAGTTCTAGTCAGATATCCTGATGCATGCTCAATAATCCAGGAAGAACAATCTAAAAAAGTTAAATCTGGTCCTCTGGACATTCACAAAAAAAAAAAAAAAAAAAAAAGTAAAAACGTTTCTTCTTTCATCCGAAAGACTTCCTCAGTGTGAGGTGCTGTATTCAGCTCAGTCTTATAAATATAATGGTAAATGGACTGTACTTATATAGCGCCTTTCTATCTTATTGAGATACTCGAAGCGCTTTACACTACAATCTGTGTCCTCATTTACCCATTCATACAGCACTCTACTAGATCTATACAAAGATAATTGAACAAATTATTCTAATGAGACTAATCAGTGCTTTAGATCACATTACCAATGGGACACACATCAGAGGCTATGAGGGGTTCAGTGTCTTGCCCAGGGACACATCGGCATGTGACTGCTGTTGGATTCAAACCCCCAACTCTCGCATTGGTGGACGATTACTTTAACCACTCAGCCACAGCACCTTCTCATAGTGGATCAACCAGTTTGCTGCTGACAGCCAAAACCAGCTACTCACATGATCAAGAAGGACCATCGGCCTAACAATGGATCATTAGCACACTGATGGCTGTTTGCTATTCACAGGAGGCTGAGTGATACTAGCAATAACAGCATTGTAAGAGGGGGACAGTTGAACAGTGTCATGTGCTGTTCAGTGTCAGGAGGGCTGTAATCAGTCTTACATCAGGGAAACTAAACAGCCAAAAGGATGGCCCAGCACAGAAGATCAACATCAGCAGGCCAGGACTCTGCGGTCTACACTCATCTCCAGGCCAGCAGGCCAGGACTCTGCGGTCTACACTCATCTCCAGGCCAGCAGTCACTCTTTCAGGGATGAAGATGTTCACATCCTGGACAGAGAGGAATGATGGTTTGAGAGAGGAGTAAAGGAGGCCATCTTTGTGAAAAGAAATCGTCCATCATTAAACAGGGGTAAAAGAGAGTACATTACAGCAGTTTTGGCCTCACTGTACTGGTTACCGGTTCACTTTCGAATCCAGTTCAAAATACTCATGTATGTCTACAAATCACTGAACAGTCCACCCCCCATCTCTCTGATCTGCTACAACCATATGTCCCACCACGTTCCCTGAGGTCAGCGGACCAGTTGTTCCTCACAGTTCCAGGATCTCGTCTTAAGCGCAGACATGACAGGGCCTTCTCTGCAGCAGGACCAAGACTTTGGAACGACTTACCTCTGCTTGTCAGACAGGCCCCCTCCCTCTCGGTTTTCAAGTCCCGTTTAAAAACCCACTACTATTCGGTGGCTTTCAACACCAGATGATCTGTGTTTTGAACCTGTATGCTCCACACTGGTTTGCCGTCATTATCTGCATCGTTTTTATGTCTATATTCTGATTTACCTCATTTTGTATTTTGCTTTGTGTGTTACTTGTTGTTCTGTCTGTACAGCACTTTGGTTGGCCTTGTCGCTGTTTTAAGTGCTCTATAAATAAAGTGGTATGGTATGGTATGGTAACTGTCCCCCTCTTACGATGCTGTTATTGCTAGCATCACTCAACCCCCTGTGAATAGTAAACAGCCATCAGTGTGCTAATGATCCATTGTTAGGCTGATGGTCCTTCTTGACCATGTGAGCAGCTGGTTTTGGTTGTCAGCAGGAAACTGGTTGATCCACTCTGAGAAGGTGCTATTTAAGAGACTGAGCTGAATACAGCACCTCAGACTGAGGAAGTCTTTTGGATTAAAGACGAAACGTTTCTATTATTGTTTTTTTTTTATGTCCAGAGGACCAGATTTAACTTTTTTTAGAGAGTTCTAGTCAGAGTTTTTAAAGTTGATTCTGGTGAACACGTGGTTCTTGTCCTGCTCGACCTAACCGCTGCCTTTGATACAGTGGACCACAACAATATCACGCCTACAGCACCAACTGGTTATCTGTGGTACTGCACTGAGTTGGTTTAGGTTCTATCTGGCTGACAGAACCATGTGTGTCAACACAGCATAGGCAGCTCCAGGGGGGAGCTAGGGGGTGATATAGCTCCCCCTGGAAAAGTCAAAGCACCCCCTTAGCGCCCCCAATGAAATATCAGATTATTTTCTTTTTCATTTGAGTTAATATTCTTTAATATGTGGTTGTTTTGATATTTTCCTAGCAAAACACAACTAATAAAAAAAAAAAAACAATCAATGTTACATTGAGTTTTAAAAAAATCTGATCTCGCAACAGGAAATGAACCTCCGAACCGGAAGTGAAAATTCAAGTTACTAAAAGTTCGGTAAACATTTGAAAAGTACACGAAATGCAAAATTGGACCATTTTCTATTACCCAAATTGCCTAGAATGGAATCAGAGAAGGAGGATGTTTTGGAAGCAGACTGCAACCAACAAATAAACAATAATTTGGAAGAAGGATCAAGTCTACTGCCATCCTTCCACATCTGTGGAGAATGCTGCTAACGCTAGTGCTGGACAGCTGAAGGATGGAGCCAGCACGGTCAGCAACCTTTGGGCAGTTCCCAGTGAGTCCTCTTCATGGTGTCTCTGGTCTGATCCGCCAGCAGAACCCCAGAAAGACGAGTGATGCCTCAACACTGACCCGGTAAGGAGCAGAACCTGGTGACACGATGCCTTGGTCTGGTTATGATTCTTAGCTGACAACTTGGTAAATCATTTCCTGGCTTCAAGTGATAATAAATGACTTTATCTGATCAGATTAAATAACTTCTTTCAACCAAATCCAAAGTAAATTATTTATTAAATTCATGTGTGTATAGAAACCAAAATAATTCCAGCTCAAAGAGTCAAATTTGCCTTAGATAAGACAATTAAGCCTTGATTGATTCATTATTATTGTTTGTTTATTATTGTTGTTGATTTTTAGTTTGATTATTTTTGTAATAAACTTCAAAAGACAACTTTGGTCTCTTCATTCAGATGAATATTCATGTGTTCTGGTATAAAACTCCCTGTAATTAACAGATTCTACTTCAGTGCTGATCATTAAAAGGTGAATATAATAATGAAGTTGTTGTTGGCCAGTAAACTTTAATGAATGATAAATAAATAAAACAAATGTAGTGGAGTTGAGATGGAAAACATGTCACCCTTCTTCCTCCATTTCACCCTTCATTATTGCTACAAGCTTCTACCCTGAGGCTGTTAGCTCGCCTGGCCAACTACCGAACTAATTGTTCCCCCCAATCTTTCCCTATGCTGGGCAGTCATGGACCCTCAGGGTGAATGTCACCATTGGCCGCCCACTGGAACTTCTGCCTTGTGTTGGATGGCCTCCCGGCCACCACCCTGAACTCGCTCCTCATGTTGGACAGCCTCCTGGCAGCCCCACTGAACTGACTCCTGGTTCTGGATGGTCCCGGCTGCCCACCTGATCTTTTGATGTTTTCTGGTGTTTAGTCTTTGTGTTTAGTTCCCAGACCTCGTCCTGTAGTCAGGGTCAAGGAGAACACACTTACCTTGATGGAAACATAATTGGATCTATGATAACTTGATTTTACTGTTTGGAATTGGTAGAAATCTGGATTGTCAACAAATCTGGAATTATCAGCAGCTGTTTAAACTGCCTAGAATGTGGAGAATGTGCCAAGAGAATGTGCCAAGCTTGGCAGCACTCAGACTATATGCAAACTATATGTAGTGCTCCAACATTTTTCAGTCAGGTCATCTGTCCAGATGACCTGACTGAAAAATGTTGGATTGTATACCTGGCTTATTGAGCATGGACTTTGTTATATGTAGTGCTGTATCAAGCTGAGCAGTCTGATCCTTATCAGAACTGTGGAAATTTCTGGCAGTGTCCACCAACGGTTGGAAGGAATAAATCTTGGAGAAGTTGTATAAGTAATCAAATTTGGCTATTTGTAGTCACCATGAGAGAATTTACTAGCAAGACTGTTAAGTCAGACATGGAAATGTATGAGTTCAGCCTGACCCAGAACAATTTTGATATCTAAATCTGGACCTGGCCTTGGAAGG